TATAATAATACCAAATTATTTCCAAAATATATTATATCTTTCAAATATAGCCTATTGCCTTTTAATTAATATACTTTGCAAATGACTTACAATTCTTGTATTTTATTGATTGCTGACTAATATACTTTCCAATGGTTTAATATTATTGTATCAAACCACGATTTTTCACAAATAGTAACATATACGAAACACATCAAAAGATGTCATCATTTTATAACTTCATCCTTTCTAATAGTAAAAAAATGCCAAACGTTTAATCATAATACTTTTTCTCAGCTACACAATAGAGTGTACAACTTATAAAATTCTTATTTGAAAAAAATATATTTTACATTTAAATCTAATTGGCCAAAATAAATGATTATAAGCCAATTTTAATGGTGTATACATATATTATTTGTTAACACCAATGTCTAGTGTAATGTAAACAATGTTGCGACATTTACATTTTACTCGGTGAAACTAACTAGTTAAAAGTTGTTAACTTTTCACTAGTCATAAAACCAATATGAAAAAGATAAATTATAATGTATTCATAACAATTTTATAAACTAATCATGAAATCATGAGAAAGCACACCCACGAATAAGTTTATAACTATAATCTTTAGTGAGCACAAGATGAACTAAACTGAAAACTTGAAGGGCCAAAACTGAAAAAACTCGCTTCACAATTAAGTATCCCGCGTTCCACGCAGAGCTTACGCAGGTGTTGTTCCCACTCGCGAAGAGAGGGTGAGAGAGACGTAAATCACTAAATCTAACAACACACCACAAGATACGGTGCATAATTTTTGGTTTCAATTTCAACAGCGGTTAAAAATTAGTCATGAATCGCCGCGAAGATACGAATCCTTTTGATGAAGAAGTCAATCCATTCTCGGTAATTACTGATTTCACGCACTCATTATTGTTAGATCTGCCATTATTTTAGCTTGTTGAGTAGTTTTTTGAAGAAAATTCGGTTTAATTTAAGGTTGGCTTTCTATTTAAGGATAATGTGCGTATATGCGCAGTGTTTAGGGTTGTACATGTATTTTGATTTTTGCATGTAATATGTGTAATTTTGCCGTAGATCTGAGGTAGTTGATTCTGAAATTTTGATAATTGTGTGTAGAACTGCAATGTGTCCTATTGGTTCGTTATTTTGCAGAAAATAAATAGAGTTAATTCGAAATAGAAAAGCGTTCTTTAGGCAGCTAACATGGACCTTCTCATGAACGCTAGACTGAATTCAGTCACTCGCCCCCAAATTCTGTAGCAAGATCCTAATTCATTCCAAGAAACAGAGATTTGATTTGGTTTTTAAGGTCGTATGAGTTGTATTTCGATTCTATTACTTTTGGACGAGCTTATGGAGGTGGAACTACTTTCAAATTAGAACATGATTAAAATTACTAATGTTATGTAATAAAATGATTGCTAAGCGGGGAAATATGAAAGTAGTTTAAAAATCAAACCTAACATAAAATGCTACATTTTCTGGGAAAAAGCAAAATGGAAGGTGTTGCAGTTTTGGTATGAAGGATGCATCAAAAACTATAAATCATGTAGGTTGTAATTTTTGTAACAAGATCTCATTAATATTCTGTTGCCACATTTGACAAGTCAAAATGCCACATAGACTAGCATAGATGCAACAGATAAAGGTTCTGATTTTTGTCTTTCTCTTGAGTTTTTGTTTTGTCAAATAATATTAAAATTACCAAAACAGAGCAAGATGCTTCTTGTTTGTTTATATTTTATATTATGAATAAGAAAATTACATTTTTCTTTGGCAAGTTCACCCAATTTCTTTTAATGGTATCGGATAGCTGATTTTTGAATGTGTAGGCTCAAATTTCATTATTTTATTGTCGTGTAACATAACATAGACAAGCACCAGTGCATTAAACTTTATTCAAGCATCTTTGTTTGTTCCCAAATGTGAACATGCATTTTGAGTTTTGCTATCAATTGGGTTAGTTTTTATTCGAATATGTTGTCACAAGCATATAATTATGTTAACACAATATGTTTATTTTCTTTTAAATCTAAACAAGTCTATGTCTTGTGTGGGATATTAGCCTTGTTTGACCATAAAAGTCTAAACAATCATTCAAGGAGTACTACTTTTTTTTATACATTACAGTTTTGAAATATTGATGTCTTAGAGTTTCACACACACAAATATTGAGGTTTTATAGTTTACTTCTGTTTGTCATTCCCAATATTCCTCTCATTCTGATCCTTATTAGCCAATTATGGTGATAAGATGTCTGTATTTAATATTTATGTAAACTACCAGATAGAAAAGGTAGCAGATACTCAGCAGTCAATGTTAAAATTTAAGCCACAACCACCCAAATCTTACGTAAAATTGGTTGTATCAGAAAGACTTGAAAAATGGAAATTTCCAAAAATAGTTTATAGAAACCACCTGCAAACTTAAAAAATCTTTAGATGCAAAAACGGGTTAGGTAAGTATTATTTTCCCTATGAAACAATCTTATAAATATTTCAAGACTCAAGAATAATGATAAAGTAGTTAAATAATCAGCAATTGTTAAGTTGTTGAACTGGCTATTGTTTAGTAATAGTTATAACAGTTATTAGAAAAGCAAAAGCTTATGTTATATTATTTAGTGGATGTGACATTAGAAATTCTCAATTTTGAAATTTGATTTGGTTTTATAGTGTTGTTATTTTTATGGGTTTGATTGCAGAAAGGTGGTGGTGCAGGTGCTCCAGCATCAAAATCCCGTATCCCTCAAATGGTTGCTAGTAGCCTTGGTTTTGGTCAAAAACATGATGCAACTGTGGACATACCATTGGATTCAGTGAATGTAATAATTATGTCATTTGTTTTCCTAATTAGTAATTTCTGGATGCTTATAAAATAGTAGTATTAATTAAGCCATGTGATGTTACAGGATCCAAAGAAAAAAGAGAATGAACTTTCTAATTGGGAAGCAGACTTGAAACGAAGGGAAAGGGTAGGTGTTTGAGGTTTTATGTTTTTTTTATTAATGTCTTGTATTTAATTCCTATGCAACCAGCTGATGTGACATGAAATTATGTATTTTTGTGCATCACACAACACAGGACATCAAGCGAAGAGAAGAAGCTGTTGCTGGTGGTTAGTAATAGTATTACTATTTAGTATCATATAAATATTGGGAATAATAAGAGTGAATGTGATTTTGACACTTTTCCTTATTGGTGGTATATGAAAAAACAGCTGGCATCCCGACAGCTGATGATAGAAACTGGCCTCCATTTTTTCCAATAATTCATCATGATATAAGCAATGAGATACCAGTTCATGCTCAAAAGTTGCAGTATTTGGCTTTTGCAAGTTGGTTAGGGATAGTTCTGTGCCTTACATTTAATGTTGTAGCCGTGACTGTCTGTTGGATCAAAGGCGGTGGTAAGTTCATTTTATCATACTACTTTTCTTTTACTATTATTATTCTGTCGTCTACTACTACTTCAAAGTTCAAAGTTCAAACCAAAATTATAAAATTATATATACAGGTGTGAAGATATTTTTCCTTGCAACAATTTATGCTCTTCTTGGAGTACCTCTTTCCTATGTTCTATGGTACAGGCCACTCTATCGTGCAATGAGGTGGGTATACGTTGATTTAATTATATTCTATCTCTAGTCTTAGCTGAAACCATTATAAAAAATGGTTCTAAATTAATGTTTTTGTTTCATCGTGTGTTGACAGGACTGACAGTGCTTTGAAATTTAGTTGGTTTTTCTTGTTCTACCTGGTGAGTTATGCTAGTGTAGGAAGCATTTGCTGATATTTCTTTCTCAATTTGAAAATCTGTTTTAATTTTGCAGCTTCACCTTGGGTTTTGTATATTTGCTGCTATTGCTCCTCCAATCGTCTTTCATGGGAAGTCATTAACGTAAGTTATCCTCTTATCTTCACTGTAGTGTATAATTTTAGGATAAAACAATGTCTTGTTTTTTTTAATCTAATTTTTGTCTCTCTCTCTTTTTTTTTTTTTTTAATCACCAGGGGTATCCTTGCTGCTGTTGACGTTTTCTCTGACCATGCATTAGTGGGGGTCAGTGCTAAATATTGCAAGTTACAATCACTGTTGATAAATTGTTACCAAAAATAATAACAACCATCCATCCCGTTTTATTCTTCTTCTGTTGTTGCAGATTTTCTATTTAGTAGGATTTGGATTATTTTGCTTGGAATCACTTCTAAGTTTCTGGGTGCTTCAGGTTAGATTTAAAAACTTTTATTCTCTTTTAACTTCTAAATCAGGAGGAGGTCTTGTTTTGTATATATAATAATATATAGTCCCTCATGCTTTTTTATGTTTGTGCTGTTTATGCAGAAAGTTTACATGTTTTTCCGTGGGAACAAGTGAGATGAGATGTTTTTTTTTTTCAAAAGAGAAGATCAATACAAGATTGCTGATGTCTGTTCGTATATTGTTAGTTGGAGTGAGTTACTACTTTACTAGTTAGAATATGAATATGATTTGTGCTGTTAGCAGGGTTTTGTGCTTATGCTTTTCTTTTGGCAGTTTATCAAGTTTTTCTTTTCTTTTTATTTTTATTTTTTTGTGAAAAAGCTAATAATTCCAAGGATCTTTATGAAAAATAAAATGGTCGTATATGCCTGTCATTTCTACCATATCATAGCTTTGCTACATTTACATAGCTAAATATGATATAAAATTGTAAATTTATCATATTACATGGTTATAAAAATATTTTATATGGGCCGCTAAAACTATATAAATAGATGGCAGCATTCTTTACAATGAATCGTTTCTAAAAAGACAAACTAAAGAATAATACAACTTATATTCCTCTTGGGGCGTTACACAAGAGAAACAAAGGACAAAGTGCAAATACAAAGCTGATCAAAACTGAATCATCATATTCTTTTTGTCTCCACAATTTGAAACTTTTGGTTTGATATGTAACCTAATAAACAAACATATCTAGCGTACCCCAGGCCAAAACTAAAACAATAATCAACTCAGTTAATAAAACTCTACCATGTTATGGTGTTTCTGAAGAGTTGTCACATACCCTTCATCCTTAATCACCAAAAGGAAATTCTTTAACAACATATAAATCTCATCAGACCGAGGATTACCTTTGTCCGCAGCCCCAAAAACATAGGTCTCATTATTCACCTCGATCCAACTATAACCAGGCACTTTCTCAACTCCTCTATCTTTCATCATACTTCTCGTTTTATTAACACCTTCCCACTTCCCAGCATCCGCTTGCACATTCGCCAACAACACATAATACCCTGAATTCCCAGGATCCATCTCAAAAAGATGTCTTGAAGCCATTTCCGCCAACTCAACATCCCCATGGACACGACAAGCACCAAGCAAACTCCCCCAAACACCCGCATCCGGATCAAAAGGCATCCCCTTTATCGCCTCAAAAGCTTCACTCAAACGACCCGCCCGCCCATACATATCGATAATACACGCGTAATGCTCCTTTCCAGGGGTAATTCCGTAATCTTCCGTCATGGACTTAAAGTAACGGAAACCTTCATCAACCAAACCGGAATGATCACATGCGGAAATTACCGCAAGAAACGTGACATGGTCCGGAAGGAATCCGGATTCTTCCATCCGGCGGAAAAGAGAAACACATTCTTGAAGACGGCCGTGGTTTCCGTAAGCCGAAATAATACTATTCCACGACACTTCGCTTTTCTTTTCCATTATGTCGAAAACAGTCCTTGCTGTTTCCAAGTTTCCACATTTAGCATACATATCGATTAGCGCACTCTCTGCGTAAAGATCGGTTTTCAACACACCTCTTGTCATGAACCCATGGACTGCTTTCCCATAACTAAGCAATGGTATGTTTGCACAAGCAGAAAGAACAGCCGATATGGTCACCGAATCATATTTGGAACCCATTTCACGGAAAAGATCAATAGCTTTTTCTGGTTCTCCATTCTGGCAGAAACTAGTAATCATGGAGTTCCAACAAACAGGATCTTTCTCAGACATTCTTACAAAAACTTCATGTGCTAAATCAATCCTTCCGCATTTCGCATACATATCTACAACCGCTGTTCCCACATGACACCTTTCAATTCCATTTTTTACAATTTGACAGTGTAACTCCTTGCCCGATTTTAAAGCAGCTAAACCAGCACAAGCTGGTAAAGTGCTCGAGAGTGTGACTGGATTCGGTTTCATTTTGTGGTCAATCAGCCATCTAAACATCTCCAATGCATTAGGGTTCATCCCATTAAGCACATAACCAGATATCATGGCTGTGCATATTACAATATCTATACCGGGAGTATAAGTGAAAACATTTTGTGCCATTTCCACTTCCCTACATTTGAAGTACATATCGATAAGTGTATTCTTCAAGAAAACATCCAAATGTATATTATGTCGGAAAATATAACAATGGATCTCTTTACCATGGGTTATAGCAGTTGACTCAGTTATACATGGAAGGAAGCTAGCCAAAGTTACAGTATCTGGTTTCATGCCTATAGATATCATTTCACAAAACAAATTAAAAGATTCATTCATAAGTCCATTTTGTACATACCCACCAATTATCACATTCCAAGTAACCGATCCGGCTTCTTGTATGCTATCGAATAACTCTCGTGCATCAAACAGTCTTTGGCACTTTGTGTATACACCAATTAACGTGTTGAGCACTTGAGGATCCGATACAAGTCCACACTTAGTTAGAAGCCCGTGAAGTTGAGTGCCAAGTTTAATATTTGCATCAGAGGCACATGCAGAGAGGACACATGCATAGGTCACTGACCCTGGTCGAACATTGGAACTTCTCATTTGGTTAAAGAGTAAGAGAACATGTTTGGGATCCCCGTGTTTCAAGTAACCATTAAGAATAACGTTCCATAATACATCATCTCTCTGAGGCAATTTATCGAACAGGTCTCGTGCGTCATTAATGCAGCCGTTTTCCGCATACAGTTTGATCAAGGAACTACCTACGTAAACATCCGTCTCAAAACCCATGATTTGAATCGTTTGATGAATGGATTTAGCCAAACGGATTGCTCCCAAACGACCACATGCCTTTATCACGTATGGAAATGTATACTTATCTGGACAAGTTTCGTGTCCTAACATCTTGAAATAAACTAAGATTGCATGGTCGAAACACCCCATCATGGTGAACCCTCTAATCATCCAATTCCATGGCGATGCGTAGAAAAGATCAAGTTGATGAAAAATTGTCTTCGCATCATTGTATTTCCCACAAAGTATATACATCCCAAGTAATCTTGAACCCAGAAGACCCACATGGTTGATTCCGTTGACGATTATCTGGGCATGAAGTTGTTGGCCTTGTTGAACGACTTGAGGACCAGGATTAGGGGTTGAACAAGATTGCAAGACTAATGCAAGTTTGGATATTAAATCTTCCTTTGTATTCGGGAAAAACTCAATAGATGTATTTGTGTTTATTGATGATGCTATTTGGGAAAATCTCCTGTGAAATGAGAAGAGGTTCCTTTGGTACATTCTATAAAGTCAAATCCTCATTACTCATATCCCATGTTGAAAAGCTACGCCTATACCGATTCCATAACTAGTATTTGTTTTCATTTCATAACAGTTTAAAATCGTCCAACTGGGATGAAGCTTCAGAGCAAGGATCAGCTCTGTTTTGAACTAAAGCAAACCAGGAAGGGAAAAGACTGTTGTAGGTCAATGTTGAGGTTTATATCTATCTGCAATTAAATAACTCAAAGGTAAACGAACTTAAATGTGGAATATATCCTCTAAGCAAAAGGAGTTGAGGGTCGTCAACATAATGTAACAACTATTATAAGATTAATCGTACATTGTTGAACACTAATCTCACGACAACAGTAGAGATTAGCCAATAACATGATAATCGATAGATTACTCTGCTTGCTTGTAAGGAGAAAATTTATTGAGGTCAAAACAGTTTAAAAGTTTGCCATCTACCACAAGAAAAAACTCGGATAGACAAGAACAAAAGGATGAAGTCCTTCTTACCTGGTTACGTGCGGCAAATTAGACATCCAAATTTCCAGAAACAAAAACAAAATAGACAGATTGGTTGAATACGTTAGTGTAACTAGTTCATAAATAGAGAACACGCTTTAGGGTTCATATATCCTGAATCAATTGAGCCTTTATCATTTTCTTGGGTCTTTGTAGTGTATGTAGTTACGACTCAAAAACACAATCTAGGGTTTAGGATTCAAGCATAGAAGAAAGAACAGAAGAAAACTGTTACCAGGCTTTTCGACAAAGATAAACGAATCCTTGGTCGTATGTTTGCATTTGCATAAGGATGTTATGTTAAAAAGTCAGTGGTTCCCGTGGGCGTTGGGGGATTTTTTTAAAAAAAATCAGGAACGGAGGCGGGAGCAAGGTTAACCCCGTTTTAATTTCGGATGCGGGGGTGGGGGTAGGTAATCCCGTCCCGAAATCTCCATGGGGACCCGTTAATAAATTACACATATATTTACATATATTAATTATATAAATATAATAAACTATAACATCATTTTGAACTTCCAAAATTTATCAAAAAACATGTTTTTAAGTTGTTAGTATAATTTTTTAAAATGTCATAACTTTTTTATTTTTAATATATAAAATTTTGTTATAAATAATTATCTATTACCTAAAAAATACTTTATTTTAGCCTAAATAACAACTTCTTTTAGCCTCAAAAAAAAAGTAGCCCAAAATCAATCAGGGGCAGCGGAACAGGGGCGGGGGCGGAGGTAATAAAGGGGATTCGGGGGCGGGAGCGGGGGTAGGAACATTGAACATTCTGGGGACGGGGGGACGGGAAAATTTCGGAGGCGGGGGCGGAAAATGCACTCCCCGCCCCGTTATCCCTAGATTTACCATTTCTGAAAGGGGGCTAAAGGCGGTAGCGAGTAATGGATTTTTTTATTAGTAAATTTAAAAAAATATATATATAAAAATTAAAATATTTAACACCTTTGGATTTATAGGAAAATTAGAAAATAATAAATTATTAAAATTCATTCTTTTTCTTTTAAATGTATATAAATAAACAAAATAAACCAACGAACTTTATTTTGAGAATTTTGAAATAAGAAAGTAAATTCATTAATGAAATTAATATTCATTTATTATTATATTTATTGTAATTATTACATTAAAGTACTATGTGAAATTTATTAAAATAAAAAACAATAAAATAAAATGTGGAAAAGAAATTAATTTTAAATAACCACATAATGACATTTGGGCTTTGGCAAATTGAATTATAGTGTGACATGTGACAAAAAACATTCATTTATTAGAGTAGATTTCGTATTAATATACAGGTCATTTATAATAATAATAATAATAATAATAATAATAATAATAAAAAAAAAAAAAAACTAGTTGTTAATCCGCACCAAGCGTTAGGTGTGTATAATGTTTTTAGCAATTAGTTTACACATACGATTAGTTTTTTTGTGCAAATAGTTTATCATATTTAAACAATTATCAATAACAATCGTCATAGCAATGAAATCAGTAAGAATTAAAAAATAAAAAATTAGGGTTCTTTACAAATTCAAATGAACACATGATTGACTGTGCATAATTGATCGCGCAATACTTTCTTATACACCACATTTACAGTACATACTTGACTACTGTAGAGTTATTTTTAAAGGTAATAACACAATCATTTATATAAAGTTATTTTTAACTATTGTTAGTATAAGTTATTTTAAGCTATTTATTTGAAGACTTTTAATGATTATAAAAATATCTTTAGAAAATATTTTAGTTAAGTTGAGATTACAATTTAGTTTTTGCATTTAGCACTAAAATTTATCACTTTTAACTATTCATAAAATATTTTTTGGTTTTTTTAAGTGGCACTGAAATTTATATTTAAGTTGATCCTATAATGTTATGTTTAAATTAATAAATTAAGTATTTTTCCAAACTGTTCAAAAGTTATAGCTTTAAACTGACAATGGTTTATATAAAAATCATATTAAATCTAATAAATTAAGTATAATATATTAAAAGTTAAAGACATGACTTTCTAAGTTGAATTAAATATATTATTTTAATATTAAAATTTATTTTATTTGTGATTACACTTTAGGTTTGATATTTATTTAACATTATTAACTATCTTATAATCATTATTAGAAAAAAAAACATTACATTTTATCACTTTTAACTAATTACAAAAAAAAAAAAAGTTATTTAAATTGACCCTGTAATGTTCTATGTAAATTAATAATTTAAGTATTTGTACAAATTGTTCAAAAGTTGAAACTTTAAAATAATAATGATTTACATACAACAACATATTAAAATTAATAAATTATATATAATATGTTAAAATTTAAAACATAACTTTATAAATAGAAGTAAATATATTCTTTTAATATTACAATTTTGTTTATATATGATTACGTTTTAGGTTTGATATTTATTTAACCTTATTAACCAACTTGTAATCATTATTAGAAAGAAACTGAAAAGTCATGGGAGTTTCAAATGAATATGATTAAAGGAAAAATGCTTCATCTATAAGTATACTAGACGAATGTCCGCGCGTTGCGCAGAAACATATATATAGTTGAAGTCTTTACAAATATATGTATTTTTAAATATAATAATAACGTTGTTGTTAAATTTGATATAATAATTTATATACTAAATTGATATATACTCAATTGTTTGAATGACTTCTACTCGCGAGTCACAGATGAATAAAATTAAATATAATATATGGTTTGATGTTATTTATAGTTGTTGGTATTGTTAACTAATTTTTTAAAATTTATTTGCTTGATGTTTTAATTTCTATCATTATAACTTTTTAAAACATCAAACATTATTTTTTGATTTTAAAGGTAACAATATAATCATTTATATAGAGTTATTTTTAGCTATTTTTATTTTAAGTTATTTTAAAATACTTATTTGGAAATTTTAACGAATATAAAAATATCTTAAGGAAATATTTTAGTTAAATTGAGATTACAATTTAGTTTTTTGTATTTATCATTACAATCTATCACTTTTAACCATTTACAAAATATTTTTTGGTTTTTTAAGTGGAACTGAAAATTTTATTTAAGTTGACATTGTAATGCGCAAAAACATCTATAAAGTTTAAGCCTTTACAAATATATGTTTTTTTAAATATAACAATAACGTTGTTGTTAAATTCGACATAATAATTCGTATACTAAATTGGTATAATATATTGATTATTTTTAATTATATGATAATATATACATCTATTATAACTTCATAATCTCAACCGTTTGGATGATTTCTATCAATGAGTTACACATGAATAAAATTAAATATAATATATGATTTCATGTTATTTATAGTTGTTATTTTTAAATAATTTTTTAAAAATTATTTGCTTAATATTTTAATTTTTAGATTATTTAAAATATCAAACATTATATTTTGATTTTAAAGGTAACAATATAATCATTTATATAGAGTTATTTTTAACTGTTGTTACTGTAAGTTGTTTTAAGCTGCTTATTTAAAAATATTTAACGATTATAAAAGATATTTAGGAAATATATTAGTTAAATTGATATTACAATTTAGTTTTTGCATTTATCACTTTTAACTATTTACAAAATATTTTTTGGTTTTTTTAGCGGAACTGAAATTTATATTTAAGTTAACATTCTAATGTTATATTTAAATTAACAATTTAACATTGTAATGTTATATTTAAATTTTAATATTAAAATTTAGTTTATATATGATTACACTTTAGATTTAATATTTATTTAACCTACTTTACCAAATTATAATTATTATTATAAAGAAATTGAAAAGTCATGGGAGTTTCAAAAGAATGTGGTGAAAGGAAAAAAAGAATGAGAGTTTCAAATGAATGTGGTGAAAGAAAAAAAATGCTTACTTTATAAGTATAGTAGGCGAATACCCGCGCGTTGCGTGAGATATAAAAAAAATATTTTATATTAAAAATAACTAAATCATTGTTATTAATAATTAAATAATAATTTCATAAAAAATATAAAAAATGATTTTTAGTATTGTTATTATGTTAAACTATATTAGAATAGATAAGGTTGGAACTTGAAGTTGTTTTGCATATACAAAGTTATATAATTAAAATAGAAAAACATTGAATTTTTAAAAATAAATAAATCATTATTGTTATCTATTAAATAATAATTTTATATTAAATTAAAACGTTTATTAAATATTATCATTATGTAAAAAATACGATAACAAAGACATCTTTTTATCTATCTTAAATTTTATCATTGTGTACAATATATGATAATAGAGACAACTTTTTATCTTAAATAGTAAAAAAAATGTTTTTTTTATCATAAATATTACCATAATTATGTAGAACATATGATAATAGTGACGTCTTTTATAAGGTTAAAACTTTAAATTGTATCACGTACATGGTTGTAAAACGTGGCTAACACAACCAAATACCCGCCATGTTACTTAAACTCGACCTCTAATGGAAGCGAGTTTGC